TGAGCCATAACCCCCCCAAAGCAAATCCTAACCATCCCTTTGTGGTATGGAAACTTGTAGTATAATTTCAGAGAGATCCATACACCGTTCCACAGTTATTGTCTGGAAACTAGAAAATGCTTATTTTTGACCCCTTTTTGGCCCCTAATTCCTTTACTGTTGGTACCATAACCCCCAAAATCAATCCCCACCTTCCTTTTGTGGTATTGAACCTTATGGTAAAATTTCAAAGAGATCCATTCACTTAAACTAAAGTTAGAGTACGAAAACCAATGTGTCTTCGGACGACGACACCGGACGACGACGACGCCGACGACGCCAACGTCATACCAATATACGACCGCAAAAATTTTTTGCGGTCGTATAAAAACCAGTTGTTGGCATGACACGGGTTATGTTCTTCTCATATATGTTATGATACTTAACCCCTAACGGGAAGGATTGTGCCTGATATTCATATGATGAAGACATAATCTTTCAATCAGTTTAATTGAAGTCTGGAGCTGGCATGTCAGTTAACTGCTAGTAGTCTGTTGTTATTTATGTATTATTGTCATTTTGTTTATTTTCTTTGGTTACATCTTCTGACATCAGACTCGGACTTCTCTTGAACTGAATTTTAATGTGCGTATTGTTATGCGTTTACTATTCTACATTGGCTAGAGGTATAGGGGGAGGGTTGAGATCTCATAAACATGTTTAACCCCGCCGCATTTTTGCGCCTGTCCCAAGTCAGGAGCCTCTAGCCTTTGTTAGTCTTGTATTATTTTTAATTTTAGTTTCTTGTGTACAATTTGGAGTTTAGTATAGCGTTCATTCTCACTGAACTAGTATATATATTTGTTTAGGGGCCAGCTGAAGGACGCCTCCGGGTGCGGGAATTTCTCGCTGCATTGAAGACCTGTTGGTGACCTTCTGCTGTTGTCTGTTCTATGGTCGGGTTGTTGTCTCTTTGACACATTCCCCATTTCCATTCTCAATTTTAAATGTCTTCTTTTAGAGAACACTTGAATGGAATGAAACCAAACATGGCATGAATATTCCTTATGAGGTGCTGACCAAGTGTTGTTTCTTTGCAGGCGATCCATCATCCAAGATTGCCGCCAGCGGGGGACTTAGTTTAACATAGTACCCTATGGGAAATACATACAAATGTCTTCTTTTAGAGTACCACTGAATGGAATGAAACCAAACATGGCATGAATGTTCCTTATGAGGTGCTGACCAAGTGTTGCTTCTTTGTTGCTAATATTCTGTTCAAGATGGCCACCAGGATATTTTATTAAATAACGGGACCAATATTAAACCAAATTTGGCCTCAATCATTATTTGGGTATCTGTTATGATTTTTATCTATCTTTACATGATATCTAAAACCAAAGTAGAGTCAGGTGAGCAACACAGGCTCTTGAGAGCCTCTAGTTTGGCCCCTAATTCCTAAAATTTTGAGGCAATTACCCCCAAAATCAATCCCAGCATTCCCTTTGTGATATGGAACCTTGTTGTACAAAGTCAGAGAGATCCATACACTAACACACAAGTTATGTCAGGAAGTTACAAAAATGCTTATTTTTGGCCCCCAATTCCTTAACTGTTGGTACCATAACCCCCAAAATCAATCCCAACCTTCCTTTTGTGGTATTGAACCTTATGGTAAAATTTCGTAGGGATCCATTCACTTAAACTAAAGTTAGAGTGCGAAAACCAAAATTTGCTTGCGGTCGTATAAAAACTAAACATTGTCCAATGAACCATGAGAATGAGGTCAAGGTCGCCAGTAAAACATGTACACCTTACAATCATTCCTTACACCAAATATAGTTTACCTTTTGCTAGTATTATTTGAGATACGAACTTGACCACAAAAACTTAACCTTGATCAGTGATCCATGAAATGAGGTTGAGATCAGTAAACCCTGAAAGACCTGAAGACCTTGCAAGGAACCTGTATACCAAGTATAGTTATCTTATTGCTCATAATAAGTGAGTATTTCACATGACAAAAAAAAATGTTAATTTTTTTTCAAGCAGTGACTGAACCATGATAAACTGTTGACAAAGAGATATGTCTTGCATTTTGTAATTTTGATGGTATATTGCAAAGATTGAAATTAAAATGGCAATATTTAAACATGTAAACTAAGAATCATTCAAATTCAATACCATGACTGAAAGTGCAGGGCCAAATAACCTCCATGGAATTGTGAAATGCCAATGCTTATAAAACTGCATACCAAATACCATTGACTTATCATAAGTGGTTCCCTTTAAACTAACCTTACCACAAACTTTAACTTGTAAACTATGTAAATGTTTCAAAGTCACTGAACCATGATGAGGTAGTGGGGCCATATAATCTCCACGGAAATGAGACTTGCAAATGTCAATAGAACTGCATATCAAATATTATTGACTTACCAGTAACATTAGTCATTCATCTCAAACTGATCTATTCACAAACTTCAACATGTAAATAATGCAAATCATTCAGTCCATGAACAATGACTGAGGGGGGATATCATTGAACTACCGCTAATAGTTCCCCTTAAACTGACCTAATAACAAACTAATACATGTAAACTAAGCAAAAGTTTCAAAGTCAATAGATCATGACTGAGGGGGCAGGGCACATAAATCTCCATGGAAATGAGATACGCCAATGCTAATACAACTGCATACCAAATATCATTGACTTACCACTAGTGGTTCCCCATAACTTGACGTAATCACAAACTAATACATTGTTGACAACACTGACGGAAACAGCATACCCTACCCAAGTCTCGCTTTTATCGACATCGTCAAAGCAAGACAAAAATGAGATCAAGGACAATAGACATATGACAGATGGAAACAATGTAACACAAGGTATCTGCACACAAGGTTTGAAGCATCCAAGTCTTTTTAACATTTTAAACCCAGTCATTTTCTGTATTTGCTTGTTCGAAGTCAGGAACCTGTAACAATTGTATTAAACAATTCATTTACTTGTGTCAGACAATTGAAATACTAAGGCTTTTCTTCCTCAGGAATAGATTACCTTAGCTGTATTTATCAAAACTTTTAGGAATTTTTGGTCCTCAATGCTCTTCAACTTCATACTTTATTTGGCCTTTTTAACTTTTTTTTATTAGAGCGTCACTGATGAGTCTTTTGTAGACTAAGGGCACGTCTGGCACAAATACAAAATTTAAATCCTGGTATCTATGATGAGTTTATTTGGACTGACATTGTAATAACATATGTCAGACATTTCAAATCTTTATCATCTGATGATGTCCCTGTACAGTGTCATGAGAGCCAAAAAGACAGACACTGAAACTGATTATTTAAAGAGGGGATTAATTTCAGGGACTGAGCCTAGACTCTTAATCCCTAAAAGGAATTGCTGGTTCCCGAGAACTGATGAAATTCCGCTTCTATAAATAAAACTCATATGCTCTATACAAGAAAGAATAAAAAGAAATGAAAAATACGACTTTGAAACAGTTCCATCCTTTAGAAAGATACTGTTTAATATATCCATCACATTAATGTTTGAAGGATCTTAGCTAAAACAAAATACATGTGTCAGGATGAAACACCAAAACAGAATGAACAAGCATTCTGAGAGTATTGAATGGCAATACATAGTCCCCTACCGGTTAGCATTTTGTTCCAGTACAATGAAATTTTAACTTGATCTATAAATGACTGTAAATTAACTATATGTGTAAATATCTGTTTTTGATTGTATTGTAATTTGTATGTGAGGGCCTCAGGGAAGATTAGTTTATTGTAACTAACTGAGTTTACCCTCTTTAAATAAAGAATTTATTATTATTATTATTATTATAACTTGTCATGATGTAAACTGTATAACAAATATCAAATCAATATCTTCAAGCATGATGAAAAAATGTGTGGAAAACTGATTATTAGCGTGAATTTTCTAAGTCAGAGGACCATAACGCTGCAAAAAAATCATCCGAACCAAACAAAATTCGAATTTGATCTGTAACTTGTCATGGTAAAACTATATACAAAATATCAAATCAATATCTTCAAGCATGACGAAAAAAAGAGCCGAAAAACTGATTACTTGTGTGAATTTTCGAAGTCCAAGGAGCACAAAATCATCAGACCAGAACAAAATTCAAAGTTGATCTGTAACTGGTCATGATAAAACTATATAACAAATATCATATCAATATCTTCAAGCACGAAGAAAAAAAGTCTGGAAAACTGATTTCCTGGACTGACATGGACAGACAGATGGAGTGAGTGCAAACCTAAAGTCCCCTTCGACATCGTCGGTAGGGGACTACTAACTGATTATGTTTTGTAGTTTATACATCAGAATGCAAAAGCTGGTTCCCAGTTTTCATTCCTTTAAATACAAGCAGATCCCAGTTTATGTTATGCACTGCTATAAAAAGAAACGAGAAATTTGTAATGAAGCATTTAATTTTGATATCATTTATCAGTTAATATTGGATTTTGAATTAATATGGATTAGGTAAATTATTAGTTTTGAAAATAATATTTGGGTGCACTCTACAATATCAATAACAAACATGGCGGAACGTAAACAATCTAGTGAAATCGAGTATTTCTCTTATTTCTTGCTTATCGTACTTTATAATCCGCACCTTTGCCTGGCAATTTTAATTTTGGAGTAAAAAAACGCTGACTATACAAGCCCGAATTCAGGTAACTGTACATCTGTTCCTCCATCTTTAATAAAATGATGCAGACGTTATTTTACAAACTTGTTACTGATTATAAAATTGAAAACCACAGAAAGGGATACGGTAACACTCCTGGAAACCTTTAATGTTTAGACTTGACCAGCGGCAGTATTGGATTTCAGAAGATTTGAAAATCTTCTCCCACCAAAAATGAAGGGGATATAAAGGTCGCAGCATAATTTTAGGGATTAGTTGAGAAAATATTTCAAAATATAAAGTTAAAACTTTAAAAGATACTTGGAAACATGTTTCAAAAGTTTGAGCCAGTGGTTTGTTGAAAAGTCTTTTAATATTTGTATACATCCTTTTCTGCATAACACTAATTTTTTTTTAAACATATCACATACATAGGATCATAATTAATCAGCATGTTTTATCAGCTGTAACAATTAAATTATACATGTAACAATCATTTTCTGTTTTTATTTGTAATTGTACTTTATTTATCAAAATCACAATTCTGACTGTTAACAAAGGAATCCATCCTAGAACACCACTTGTGGTCTGTAGTGAGGTTGGAATTTATTGGCCTTTTTACTAAGTCTTAATGTGTGCTTATTCTTAAGTCTCTGCATGTAACCAAGATCTTTAACTCTTTTCTGTGATACTTCACCTACAAATAAAGTGATTTCATATTAATTATTATGCTATGTGATAAAAATAATTCTATATCGGAAAGTTTTTTAAATCATGGAATTTTATGTGTGAATTGTTTGTATAGATGTGAAATTTTAGTAATATACCAATGAAAAAGTTATGACACAATTACAAGAATTTGGGGTAATTATAAATATATCAATTTTCAAATAGCAATTTAAATGAAACAATTATAAATGTTGGAGTACTATCAAAGCGGTCTGACACTTCTATGCCATATAAAGATACAACGTAACAATTGGTATACCTACGTATAAAAAAGTTCACTTAATGAAAGAACCTTAAGTGAGCAAGCTCACATACCTTACTTCTTCCAGACATAACAAACATGGTATTTTCAAGCAAAGTTTTCCTATAAAAAAAATTGTCCCCACTTCAGATTTTTCTGTTGAACCAATCCTCCATTTTTCTGATTATAATACTCCTCCAAAGTTCTGACAAATAGAAAAGGAGCAGGAACTATTGACTCTTCCAGAGCACTTGAATTGACACCAGGTTTAAGGTGGGCTTTGTAATTCAGTGGTTGTTGTTTGTTGCTGTATATCATATTTGTCTTTGGTGGAGAGTAGTCTCATTGGGAATCATCCCACAGGCCTTATTTTTATAATTTGTGTTTCTCAACCTTAAGTTTTCTGTATTTGGGACTTGGTTTTTTTTTTCTTTCCATAGTCTTTTTCTTTTTTCTTCAAATAATGTTTTTTATTGACCCCTTTCTATATTATCCCCTTTTGTGTCTATTTAACTACTGGTAGTCAAGTTCTGTGTATAATGGACACATTAAATATTTAATGGATCAGCTCTTGTGTATAATAAATACTTACCTGTACAACCAGTCCACCCAAGTGCTTTGTACTGTGCCAACATTTTAGGTAAAACATTCTTGTTCTGGCTTGATTCTCTGTGAGGTAAATTCTGTTTGTAATATTTCATCAATGACCTATGGCCAATAGTTGCACCTGCAAAACCAATGAAACTAAAATTTATTGAACTCTTTTTGATGCACACTGTAGTAATACATCCACTTACAGTTAATAAGTTATACATTCTATAACTAGAGGCTCTATAGACCATGTGTCACTCACCTGAATCTATGTGTCACTTCAACAATGGCCACTCTCGAACATTAAAGCCTAGAATATAACTCATGACTACAATTCTCTTTTTTGCTGATCCTAGTTATTGATAGTTTCTCTCTTCTATAGTTTTAGCAAAAAAAGCAAAAATGGATAAAAAAAATGATTCAAGGCCAATTTGCTGTTTGAAGCATCTCTTCAGCTACTCAATTTTTTTCCCCAAAACACAAAAGTAGAAAAAATTCTCATTTAAAGGAGCTGACTGACAATTTCTGCCATGTTGACTTATTTTATAGTTCTGATGGATAGTTGTCTCATTGACAATCATACCACATCTCCTTCTTTTACAGTATATTATTTGTAGATCTGATTTTCCTGATGATTTATGCTAACGGTATTTAAATTTTCTGTTTCAATTTTAGTTTCTGCAAAAATGCAAAACATGGAAAAAATTGTCATTGAGACTGGCAAAGGAACCAAATGTGACCGAAAACACACCTGAAGGTAATACTAATTCATATCCATCATCAAGCAGAACTTGTGGGTCAACTTCTTCAGAATCCACTTCCATACTTTCTACACCACCTCCTGCAGCTTCATCAAAGTCTGGATAGCTGCTCCTGTAACAAAAAATCAAATTACTCATACAGAAACAAGAATAGGTGATTGCTTACATAATTACATACGGGTATGACATAATCAGCTGTCATGACCTTCTATAAATGCATATATTTTTTTTTTTATGAATTCTAAATAAATGGTCAAAGAAACACCAAATGGTCCAAAATGTTGGTCTTGAAAGGATTTGCACTAATTCTGATATAAAATTAAATACAGTAAAAAAATTTACCAAGAAAGAAATATTTCATTAACGAGGCACACTTCTACAATTGATGGTCTCCTAACAGTTTTATAATCTCACCTGTAATCATAGTAATCAGCATATTCAAACATTGTATCCCCATCATGTAGAAGTTTACAATGTCCCTTGTCTAACATGTGTTTCTGTACAGCCTGAACTGAGTGAAAAGCCTTCCCTTTCTCATTACACCACAGACAAACATGACCAACACCTACTTTTTCACCTAAAAAGTTTAAATACAAACCATTGAACAATAATACATGCTTTTTCATAATTTTCTTTATCCTTCATTTTATAGTGTTTTTTTTTCAATTTTTGTCTCACAGATCTAAGGTAGCAATACACAGTTAGTTTTTATTTCCCATTTTGGCCCCTGTGAATTTTTTCAAATATGAAAGTTATTGTGTAATAAAATTAATTTTTAGATAGCTGAAGATTTATAAAGCCTTCAAAGTGGGTTTATATGAAGATCAAGATAGTTTTTTTGCATGTTTTACAGGTCATTTTCTGTTTTACTGTCCATATTTTCACATTCCTACCGGCTATAGGTCCAGAAATAATTGCAGTGTTTTCAAACAAATTTTTTACACACTAACTTTCCAATTCAATTTTATGAAAAAATTAAGTAAAATGCTTTTTTATTCGACTTCTTGATAGGTAAATGTCAATGGTTTCAGAAAAGGTATCAATCACATGGATTGAAATTCTACTATAGACCAAATTTTGGAGACATTTGTGACACTTCCGCCCCCTTTTTGCAATAGTTTGAATCAAATAAATTCTACCTAGGTATATAACAAGTCCTTCTAAGTCAGCAATATATCCTGCATCAGGTAAGAAAAAGCTATGTTTCTTAGTCATGTGATTGAAATTAGCCTCTAAAGATGAACTGATATGTGAACAGAATAAGCATTCCTCAATACCAAGGGCATTTTCTTCCCAATCCTCCACAGATTCTACATCAGAACCATCTGCAAAAAGTTAAACAAATATTGATCACAAAATTGTATATCTTAAACAATGTAAGTATCTTTCAGTAAATTCTCTGGTATTATATTGACAGATTTATATTATAAATAACAAAATACATGCACTACATTCTCCCCTAAAAAGGTGATTATGTGAATTTTCATAGGATTAAATGGGAAACTATCATGTATGTTTTATAATGGTAAATCCTTATTTCAAAATATCATTAAGTTATTTTCCTTTAAAAATTGAAAAGCTTTAAAACTTGTCAAAGTTAAAAGGAGGAGTATTACAATTCAAAAATGGCCAATCTGAATCCTTAATTTCCTCTGGTGAAAACATTTTTTGTCCAGTTTGAACTTTCCATAAACTACATTTTTTCCTGCCCCTGCTTTAGCAACAGATAATTCTAGTCGTAAGGGCTGGTGAGCAAATATAAAATTGACTAAAACCTACAAATTCAAACTTTTTAAAAGGTACAATTTTATGCTGATACATTGTTTTTAAAAAGTGCATGTAAATACCCTTTTCTGTATTACACAAAAATGGCACATGGATTTATCAAAGGTAAATATAATAGTTACCTTCATCTGATATAGCCATCTGTGTTTTGTTACTTCCAGGTCCAGATTTATCTCCTTCACCACTGGCAGTAGCTGATATTTTGGTTTTCAGTGCCATATTTACACAATCTTTCATCAATCTTTTTTCATTTTCTGGCAAATCAGAATTGTCTGCTCCTTCTGCATGTTCTGTGTTTTTTTCTTTATTTTTTTCTATTTCTTCTTTTAGCTTTGTTGTGTGTTTCGTTACAACATCTTTATGTTTTTTAGATTTTAAATGATTTTCATACTGGTTCTTAGAGTTGAAATGTTTATTACATATTTCACATGTAGCTGTAGTGACCTCATCATCTTCAACAGCCTGTTAACAACCCAAATAAAACTTAATGAAACATTTTGTGAAACTCTAATAGAAATTTAATTTGTTTCTTAATAAAAATTATACAGGTGTTATTGAATTTTAAAAAGATCAAATTAATTTTTGCTAATGTCCAACTTTTAATCACAATTATAAATGGGATTGACAATGCAAATTATACTATATATAAAAATAAAATGCTTCGCTGAGCACAGCTGGATACGACCGCAGAGGTCCAACCCTGAACAGTTGGGGCGAAAACGGACACAATATTCGCGCTTGATACAGGTCTGAATTTGGATTGTAATTAAATATTTGACACATAATAGGTTTCTGACACCGAATAACTGTAGTCAAAGAACTTAGAATTGGTTATATGATTTGAATTTATATTCAATTTTTTGCTTTTGTGCAATACACTATGCTGTTGCGAATTGCCCCCCCCCCCCCCCCCCCCCCCCCAACAAAAAATAAAATGCTTCGCTGGGCGCAGCTTGATACGACCGCAGAGGTCGAACCCTGAACAGTTGGGGCAAGTATGGACACAACATTCAAGCTTGATACAGCTCTGAATTTGGATTGTGATTAAATATTTGACACAGCATAGGTTTCTGACACAGAAAGAATGTGGTCTAAGAACTTCAATTTTTTTAATTTACCTATTATGGTCCAATGTCCAAAATCAAAATACATGGTTAGATTCAGCATATCAAAGAACCCCATATATTCAATTTTTGTTGAAATCAAACAAAGTTTAATTTTGGACCCCAACTTGGACAAACTTGAAAACTGGTCCCATAATCAAAAATCTAAACACATGTTTAGATTCAGCATATCAAAGTACCCCAAGAATTCAATTTTTGTTAAAATCAAACTAAGTTTAATTTTGGACCCTTTGGACCTTAATGTAGACCAATTTAAATAAAATGCTTCGCTGGGGCGCAGCTTGATACGACCGCAGAGGTCGAACCCTGAACAGTTGGGGCAAGTATGGACACAACATTCAAGCTTGATACAGCTCTGAATTTGGATTGTTATTAAATATTTGACACAGCATAGGTTTCTGACACAGAAAGAATGTGGCCTAAGAACTTGAATTTTTTTAATTTACCTATTATGGTCCAATGTCCAAAATCAAAATACATGGTTAGATTCAGCATATCAAAGAACCCCATATATTCAATTTTTGTTAAAATCAAACAAAGTTTAATTTTGGACCCCAACTTGGACAAACTTGAAAACTTGGCCCATAATCAAAAATCTAAACACATGTTTAGATTCAGCATATCAAAGAACCCCAAGAATTCAATTTTTGCTAAAATCAAACTAAGTTAAATTTTGGACCCTTTGGACCTTAATGTAGACCAATTTAAATAAAATGCTTCGCTGGGCGCAGCTTGATACGACCGCAGAGGTCGAACCCTGAACAGTTGGGGCAAGTATGGACACAACATTCAAGCTTGATACAGCTCTGAATTTGGATTGTGATAAAATATTTGACACAGCATAGGTTTCTGACACAGAAAGAATGTGGTCTAAGAACTTCAATTTTTTTAATTTACCTATTATGGTCCAATGTCCAAAATCAAAATACATGGTTAGATTCAGCATATCAAAGAACCCCATATATTCAATTTTTGTTGAAATCAAACAAAGTTTAATTTTGGACCCCAACTTGGACAAACTTGAAAACTGGTCCCATAATCAAAAATCTAAACACATGTTTAGATTCAGCATATCAAAGTACCCCAAGAATTCAATTTTTGTTAAAATCAAACTAAGTTTAATTTTGGACCCTTTGGACCTTAATGTAGACCAATTTAAAAAACGGGACCCAAAATTAAAAATCTAAATACACGGTTAGATTTGGCATATCAAAGAACCCCAATAATTCAATTTTTGATGAAATCAAACAAAGTTTAATTTTGGACCCTTTTGACCTCAATATGAACCAATTTGATAGCGGGCCCACAAAATAAAAAATCTAAATACATGGTAAGATTCAGCATATCAAAGAACCCCATATATTCAATTTTTGTTGAAATCAAACAAAGTTTTATTTTGGACCCCAATTTGAACCAACTTGAAAACTGGGCCAAAAATCTAAAATCTAAATACATGTTTAGATTCAGCATATCATAGAACCCCATATATTCAATTTTTGTTGAAATCAAACAAAGTTTAATTTTGGACCCCAACTTGGACCAACTTGAAAACTGGGCCCATAATCAAAAATCTAAACACATGTTTAGATTCAGCATATCAAAGAACCCCAAAAATTCAATTTTTGTTAAAATCAAACTAAGTTTAATTTTGGACCCTTTGGACCTTAATGTAGACCAATTTAAAAAACGGGACCCAAAATTAAAAATCTAAATACACGGTTAGATTTGGCATATCAAAGAACCCCAATAATTAAATTTTTGATGAAATCAAACAAAGTTTAATTTTGGACCCTTTTGACCTCAATGTGAACCAATTTGATAGCGGGCCCACAAATAAAAAATCTAAATACATGGTAAGATTCAGCATATCAAAGAACCCCATATATTCAATTTTTGTTGAAATCAAACAAAGTTTAATTTTGGACCCCAATTTGGACCAACTTGAAAACTGGGCCAAAAATCTAAAATCTAAATACATGTTTAGATTCAGCATATCAAAGAACCCCATATATTCAATTTTTGTTGAAATCAAACAAAGTTTAATTTTGGACCCCAACTTGGACCAACTTGAAAACTGGGCCCATAATCAAAAATCTAAACACATGTTTAGATTCAGCATATCAAAGAACCCCAAGAATTAAATTTTTGTTAAAATCAAACTAAGTTTAATTTTGGACCCTTTGGACCTTAATGTAGACCAATTTAAAAACGGGACCCAAAATTAAAAATCTAAATACACGGTTAGATTTGGCATATCAAAGAACCCCAATAATTCAATTTTTGATGAAATCAAACAAAGTTTAATTTTGGACCCTTTTGACCTCAATATGAACCAATTTGATAGGGGGTCCACAAATAAAAAATCTAAATACATGGTTAGATTCAGCATATCAAAAAACCCAAACAATTCAATTTTTGATGAAATCAAACAAAGTTTAATTTTGGACCCTTTTGACCTCAATGTGGACAAAGTTGATAAAGGGGCCCAAAAATCAAAAATCTAAATACATGGTTAGATTCAGCATATCAAAGAACCCCATATATTCAATTTTTGTTGAAATCAAACAAAGTTTAATTTTGGACCCCGATTTCGACCAACTTGAAAACTGGGCCCATAATCAAAAATCTAAATACATGTTTAGATTCAGCATATCAAAGAACCCTAAAAATTCAATTTTTGTTAAAATCAAACTAAGTTTAATTTTGGACCCTTTTGACCTTAATGTAGACCAATTTGAAAACGGAACCAAAAATTAAGAATCTAAATACACGGTTAGATTCGGCATATCAAAGAACCCCAATAATTCAATTTTTGATGAAATCAAACAAAGTTAAATTTTGGACCCTTTGGACCTCAATGTGGACCAATTTAAAAACGGGGCCCAAAATCCAAAAACTTAATACACGGTTAGATTCAGCATATTAAAGAACCCCAAGAATTCAAGAATAAAACCCCATTGAAATTGATCAAGAAATAAGCAATTTATACGAAGTATCTTCTTTTGCACAATACAATGTACTGTGCAATTGAATATTTCTTGCTATTGTGCAATACTGTACAATTGACAATTTCTTGCTATTGCGCAATATTGTGCTATTGGATATTTCTTGTTATTGCGCAATACTGTGCAATTGAAGATTTCTTGCTATTGCGCAATACTGTGCAATTGAAGATTTCTTGCAATTGTGCAATACTGTGCAATTGAAAATTTCTTGCTATTGCACAATACTTATTATATAATAATTTACACATCCTGTTTGGTGTGTTTCTCCTACCATATCATTATTATTTGCTTTTAAATATTAATCAGAAATAACCAACTTAAAATGGAAAATTTTAAAAGAAAAAAAAAAGGAAAAAAAGAAAAAAAAAGAAAAAAAAAAATCCCCCCCCCCAATTTTTTGAACCCCCTTATGATTCATCACCCCCAAACTCAATCCCAGCCTTCCCTTTGTGGTATGGTACCTTGCAGTACAATTTCAGAGAGATCCATACACTTGAACACAAGTTATTGTCATGAAACTAGAAAAATGCTTATTTTTGGCCCCTTTTTGGCCCCCAATTCCTAAACGTTTCGGGCAATTACCCCCAAAATCAATTCCAGCTTTCCCTTTGTGATATGGAACCTTGTAGTACAATTTCAGAAATATCCAAACACTTACACACAAGTTATTGTCATGAAACTAGAAAAATGCTTGTTTTTTGCCCCTTTTTTGGCCCCTAATTCCTAAAATTTTGAGGCAATTACCCCCAAAATCAATTACAGCCTTCCCTTTGTGATATGGAACCTTGTGGTACAATGTCAGAGAGATCCATACACTTACACACAAGTTATTGTCTGGAAGTTACAAAAATGCTTATTTTTGGCCCCTTTTTGGCCCCTAATTCCTTAACTGTTGGTACCATAACCCCCAAAATCAATCCCCACCTTCCTTTCGTGGTATTGAACCTTATGGTAAAATTTAATGGAGATCCATTCACTTAAACTAAAGTTAGAGTGCGAAAACCAATGCGTCTTCGGACGACGCCGGACGACGCCAGACGACGACGACGACGACGACGACGACGACGACGACGCCAACGTCATACCAATATACGACCAAAAAATTTTCAATTTTTGCGGTCGTATAAAAACGGGACTTAAAATTAAAAATCTAAATACACGGTTAGATTTGGAATATCAAAGAACCCCAATAATTCAATTTTTGATGAAATCAAACAAAGTTTAATTTTGGACCCTTTTGACCTCAATATGAACCAATTTGATAGCGGGGCCCACAAATAAAAAATCTAAATTCATGGTTAGATTCAGCATATCAAAGAACCCCATATATTCAATTTTTGTTGAAATCAAAAAAAGTTTAATTTTGGACCCCAACTTGAACCAACTTGAAAACTGGGCCCATAATCAAAAATCTAAACACATGTTTAGATCCAGCATATCAAAGAACCCCAAGAATTCAATTTTTGTTAAAATCAAACTAAGTTTAATTTTGGACCCTTTGGACCTCAATGAAGACGAATTTAAAAAAACCGGGACCCAAATTAAAAATCTAAAAACACGGTTAGATTTGGCATATCAAAGAACCCCAATAATTCAATTTTTGATGAAATCAAACAAAGTTTAATTTTGGACCCCAACTTGGACAAACTTGAAAACTTGGCCCATAATCAAAAATCTAAACACATGTTTAGATTCAGCATATCAAAGAACCCCAAGAATTCAATTTTTGCTTAAATCAAACTAAGTTAAATTTTGGACCCTTTGGACCTTAATGTAGACCAATTTAAAAAACGGGACTTAAAATTAAAAATCTAAATACACGGTTAGATTTGGAATATCAAAGAACCCCAATAATTCAATTTTTGATGAAATCAAACAAAGTTTAATTTTGGACCCTTTTGACCTCAATATGAACCAATTTGATAGCGGGGCCTACTAATAAAAAATCTAAATTCATGGTAAGATTCAGCATATCAAAGAACCCCATATATTCAATTTTTGTTGAAATCAAAAAAAGTTTAATTTTGGACCCCAACTTGAACCAACTTGAAAACTGGGCCCATAATCAAAAATCTAAACACATGTTTAGATCCAGCATATCAAAGAACCCCAAGAATTCATTTTTTGTTAAAATCAAACTAAGATTAATTTTGGACCCTTTGGACCTCAATGAAGACGAATTTAAAAAAAACGGGACCCAAATTAAAAATCTAAAAACACGGTTAGATTTGGCATATCAAAGAACCCCAATAATTCAATTTTTGATGAAATCAAACAAAGTTTAATTTTGGACCCCAATTTGGACCAACTTGAAAACTGGGCCCATAATCAAAAATCTAAATACATGTTTAGATTCAGCATATCAAAGAACCCCATATATTCAATTTTTGTTGAAATCAAACAAAGTTTAAATACTGGACCCTATCTTGGACCAACTTGAAAACTGGGCCCATAATCAAAAATCTAAACACATGTTTAGATTCAGCATATCAAAGAACCCCAAGAATTCAATTTTTGTTAAAATCAAACTAAGTTTTATTTTGGACCCTTTGGACCTTAATGTAGACCAATTTAAAAAACAGGACCCAAAATTAAAAATCTAAATACACGGTTAGATTTGGAATATCAAAGAACCCTAATAATTCAATTTTAGATGAAATCAAACAAAGTTTAATTTTGGACCCTTTTGACCTCAATATGAACCAATTTGATAACGGGGTCCACAATTAAAAAATCTAAATACATGGTTAGATTCAGCATATCAAAGAACCCCATATATTCAATTTTTGTTGAAATCAAACAAAGTTTAATTTTGGACCCCAATTTGGACCAACTTGAAAACTGGGCCAAAAATCAAAAATCTAAATACATGTTTAGATTCAGCATATCAAAGAACCTCATATATTCAATTTTTGCTAAAATCAAACAAAGTTTAATTTTGGACCCTTTGGACCTTAATGTAGACCAATTTGAAAACTGGACCCAAAATTAAAAATCTAAATACACTGTTAGATTCGGCATAACAAATAAATAAATGTGATCAAAGATTTTACAAATCTAATGCGCCATACTGTGCAATTAAAGATTACTTCTTGAAATTTTTCAATATTTGAAATTTGAAAAAAAAATAATATTTGAAGAATAATTCTTTTTAATTTCTGAAATCTGAAATGAGAAAAAATTGACCCCCCACAATTTCTTTTTATCCCCCCCCCCCTTTTTTCCCCCAAAAAATTCTTTCCCTCAAGATATGGTCAAAATCTCAATTCAAATTTCCAATGGAGTTGGCAACCATAATTACCCATTTAAATTTACCATAGTGCTAACTTAATCTATTTTATAATAGAATTAAAAATATAGTGTCAAATCTTTCATATGGATTTTTTTGTAAAAAAAAAGATGCAACATTTGCAGATATTTTTACTGGTCTTCCTTTATAAATATGCATTTCTTTAAACATAATTTAAAAGCAGTGTAAGGGAAGTAACCAAAACGTTGTATTTGGATTACCTCCCTTACACTGTTTTAAATTATCTTTATTGTTCATTAACCATTACTTTATACATAATTTAATAACAGTGTAAGGGAGATAATTTCAATGATGTATTTGATTTATCTCCCTTACACTGCTTTAAATTATGTTTTGTACTAAAGTATTTGTCCATTAACCAGGACAACCTTGTTTTTCCCCCTTTTTTGCCCCTAATTCCTAAACGGTTTGAGCCATAACCCCCCAAAGCAAATCCTAACCATCCCTTTGTGGTATGGAAACTGGTAGTATAATTTCAGAGAGATCCATACACCGTTTGTCTGGAAACTAGAAAATGCTTATTTTTGGCCCCTTTTTGGCCCCTAATTCCTTAACTGTTGGTACCATAACCCCCAAAATCAATCCCAACCTTCCTTTTGTGGTATTTAACCTTATGGTAAAATTTCAAAAAGATCCATTCACTTAAACTAAAGTTAGAGTGCGAAAACCAATGTGTATTCGGACGACGACGCCGGACGACGACGACGACGCCAACGTCATACCAATATACGACCACAAAATTTTTTTGCGGTCGTATAAAAACGGGACCCAAAATTAAAAGTCTAAAAACACGTTTAGATTTGACATATCAAAGAACCCCAATAATTCAATTTTTGATGAAATCAAACAAAGTTTAATTTTGGACCCTTTTGACCTCAATATGAACCAATTTGATAGCGGGCCCACAAATAAAAAATCTAAATACATGGTAAGATTCAGCATATCAAAGAACCCCATATATTCAATTTTTGTTGAAATCAAACAAAGTTTAATTTTGGACCCCAATTTGGACCAACTTGAAAACTGGGCCAAAAATCTAAAATCTAAATACATGTTTAGATTCAGCATATCAAAGAACCCCAAAAATTCAATTTTTGTTAAAATCAAACTAAGTTTAATTTTGGACCCTTTGGACCTTAATGTAGACCAATTTAAAAAACGGGACCCAAAATTAAAAATCTAAATACACTGTTAGATTTGGCATATCAAAGAACCCCAATAATTAAATTTTTGATGAAATCAAACAAAGTTTAATTTTGGACCCTTTTGACCTCAATATGAACCAATTTGATAGCGGGCCCACGAATAAAAAATCTAAATACATGGTAAGATTCAGCATATCAAAGAACCCCATATATTCAATTTTTGTTGAAATCAAACAAAGTTTAATTTTGGACCCCAATTTGGACCAACTTGAAAACTGGGCCAAAAATCTAAAATCTAAATACATGTTTAGATTCAGCATATCAAAGAACCCCATATATTCAATTTTTGTTGAAATCAAACAAAGTTTAATTTTGGACCCCAACTTGGACAAACTTGAAAACTAGGCCCATATTCAAAAATCTAAACACATGTTTAGATTCAGCATATCAAAGAACCCCAAGAATTCAATTTTTGTTAAAATCAAACTAAGTTTAATTTTGGACCCTTTGGACCTTAATGTAGACCAATTTAAAAACGGGACCCAAAATTAAAAATCTAAATACACGGTTAGATTTGGCATATCAAAGAACCCCAATAATTCAATTTTTGATGAAATCAAACAAAGTTTAATTTTGGACCCTTTTGACCTCAATATGAACCATTTTGATAGCGGGTCCACAAATAAAAAATCTAAATATATGGTTAGATTCAGCATATCAAAGAACCCCAAGAATTCAATTTTTGATGAAATCAAACAAAGTTTAATTTTGGACCCTTTTGACCTCAATGTGGACAAAGTTGATAACGGGGCCCAAAAATCAAAAATCTAAATACATGGTTAGATTCAGCATATCAAAGAACCCCATATATTCAATTTTTGTTGAAATCAAACAAAGTTTAATTTTGGACCCCGATTTGGACCAACTTGAAAACTGGGCCCATAATCAAAAATCTAAATACATGTTTAGATTCAGCATATCAAAGAACCCTAAAAATTCAATTTTTGTTAAAATCAAACTAAGTTTAATTTTGGACCCTTTTGACCTTAATGTAGACCAATTTGAAAACGGAACCAAAAATTAAGAATCTAAATACACGGTTAGATTCGGCATATCAAAGAACCCCAATAATTCAATTTTTGAAGAAATCAAACAAAGTTAAATTTTGGACCCTTTTGACCTCAATATGGACCAATTTAAAAACGGGGCCCAAAATCCAAAAACTTAATACTTGGTTAGATTCAGCATATTAAAGAACCCCAAGAATTCAAGAATAAAACCCCATTGAAATTGATCAAGAAATAAGCAATTTATACGAAGTATCTTCTTTTGCACAATACTGTGCAATTGAATATTTCTTGCTATTGTGCAATACTGTACAATTGACAATTTCTTGCTATTGCGCAATATTGTGCTATTGGATATTTCTTGCTATTGCGCAATACTGTGCAATTGAAGATTTCTTGCTATTGCGCAATACTGTGCAATTGAAGATTTCTTGCAATTGTGCAATACTGTGCAATTGAAAATTTCTTGCTATTGCACAATACTTATTATATAATAATTTACACATCCTGTTTGGTGTGTATCTCCTACCATATCATTATTATTTGCTTTTAAATATTAATCAGAAATAACCAACTTAAAATGGAAAATTTTAAAAGAAAAAAAAAAGGAAAAAAAGAAACTCCCCCCCCCCCCCAAATTTTTTGAACCCCCTTATGATTCATCACCCCCAAACTCAATCCCAGCCTTCCCTTTGTGGTATGGTACCTTGCAGTACAATTTCAGAGAGATCCATACACTTACACACAAGTTATTGTCTGGAAGTTACAAAAATGCTTATTTTTGGCCCCTTTTTGGCCCCTAATTCTTTAACTGTTGGTACCATAACCCCCAAAATCAATCCCAACCTTCCTTTCATGGTATTGAACCTTATGGTAAAATTTCATGGAGATCCATTCACTTAAACTAAAGTTAGAGTGCGAAAACCAATGTGTCTTCGGACGACGCCGGACGACGCCAGACGACGACGACGACGACGACGACGACAATGACGACGACGCCAACGTCATACCAATATACGACCAAAAAATTTTCAATTTTTGCGGTCGTATAAAAATTGCTTTTGTGCAATACACTATGCTGTTGCGTATTGACCCTCACCCCACCCCCACAAAAAAATTTTTTTTTTCACACACCCCCCCCCCCCCCTTGCAAAAAAAAAATATTTGAAAAAATTTTCTTTTTAATTTCTGAAATATGAAATGAAAACAAAAATTGCCCCCACAATTTCTTTTTTACCCCCCTCCCCCTTTTCCAAAAAAAAATTCTTTCCCTCAAGATATGGTCATAATCTCAATTCAAATTTCCAATGGAGTTTGCAACCACAATTACCTATTTAAATACATCATAAAAGTCTTAAATAGATAATTTAAAAGCAGTATAAGGGAGGTTATCCAACATTGTACAACATTGTACAATTTTGTTTTTGGATTACCTCCCTTACACTGCTTTAAAATTGTCCATTTACCAGGAAACCTTTGTTTTTTCCCCTTTTTTGCCCCTAATTCCTAAACGGTTTGAGCCATAACCCCCCAAAGCCAATCCTAACCATCCCTTTGTGGTATGGAAACTTGTGGTATAATTTCAAAGAGATCCATACACTTAAACACAAGTTATTGTCTGGATGTTACAAAAATGCTTATTTTTGGCCCCTAATTCCTTAACTGTTGGTACCATAACCCCCAAAATCAATCCCAACCTTCCTTTTGTGGTATTGAACTTTATGGTAAAATTTCATAGAGATCCATTCACTTAAACTAAAGTTATTGTGTGAAAACCAATGTGTCTTCGGACGACGACGCCAACGTCATACCAATATACGACCGCAAAAAATTTTTTGCGGTCGTATAATAAGAAGATGTGGTATGAATGCAAATGAGACAACTTTCCACAAAAGACCAAAAGACACAGAAATTAACAACTATAGATCACCGTACGGCCTTCAACAATGAGTAAATCCCATACTGCATAGTCAGCTATAAAAGGCCCATAAAAGACAAATACATGTATCTACAAACTTTAAATGAAATTGAACCTTTAGAGAATTTTTCAGAATGTTTTTATTACTGGTGGTTTTTTGTCAAAAACTCTACTTTTAATTGCTGTATCAGGTTAGTACAGAGAAAAATGTATGATGGCTGTTAGATTCACCAATAGTTATGCTTCACAGCAGGTATGGAATATTTAATTAATAATTTCCCCCAAAGTTTGATTGCAAACCTTTTAACAATTATTTTTTTTACTGAAACATTCTTGTTTTCAAATATCCTCTTTACATGTCTTTTAAAAACATGTTTGTTGGATGGATTTAAAATTAATACAAAATAAGGAAACAAGGCACACTTAGGATGATTGTGATAACAGTTGTGTAGGCATGGTAGGAGAAGACTGAAAAAAATTCAAATACTTTCATAAAAAAAAAATTTTCAACAGTACATTTTATGAAATACTTCCAGAAGCCAAATTGGCTCTTACTGATACCTGCTTATAAATACATGTATATAGATAACAGCACAAGTTATAAAAGAGAAGGAACATAAAGGTTAAACAGGAGTTGTTGACTGAGCTCCTGTGAAATAGTGTTTATATATTTTTGTTTCCAACTATAATAAATTATATAACCAAGCAAAATATTTAAGAAAAATTATAAACCAGCTGAGTTTCTTATAAATATCAAGTAATCTAAGCCAAATTTTAGGGATCAATAGATACAGTGCTCTTCTTAAATTTAGTCCTTGAACGGATATTCTTAAATGTTTTTTTTTCAAAAGCTTGAAAATTTTTAGCTCATTTTTTGGTTATAGTTGTATCGTATTAAAATTATTTTGGACAAACATTACATGTAATGTATAAAGAACTTACTTTTTCTCTTTGTGCAAGTACTTTCTGTTGGAAAGTATCTGCAGTGACTGGTGGGAGCTCAGCTACTTTTCTTTTCAAGTTATATCTGTGCCAGTCAGTTTTATAATGTCCTCTTTGAAGATCCAATGTGGAAAATCCTACTCTGCATGTTATACATGTATACAGGCCTGACATGACATCAACAGTTGTCCTAAAATAGAGTAGTCCTGCAAATCAGTCACATGAAACATGACGACATACTGCACTACAGTAATGCAGAATTAATATTTATAATAAAATGCTCCGCTGGGGCGCAGCTTGATACGACCGCAGAGGTCGAACCCTGAACAGTTGGGGCAAGTATGGACACAACATTCAAGCTTGATACAGCACTGAATTTGGATTGTATATAAATATTTGACACAGCATAATAGGTTTCTGACACAGAATAAATGTGGTCTAAGAACTTAAAATTTTTTAATTTATCTATTCAAACCATATCATTATTATTTGCTTTTATATATAAATCAGAAATAACCAATTTAAAATGGAAAATTTTAAAGAAAAAAGGAAAAAAAAAATCCCCCCCCCCCCCCCCCCAAATTTTTTTTTAACCCCCTTATGATTCATCACCCCCAAACTCAATCCCAGCCTTCCCTTTGTGGTATGGTACCTTGCAGTACACATACATGTGATGGACTGTGAAACTAAGATCAGGAGTTTTGGAGATTAGGACTCAGATCAGGATGTTTTTAAGTGACATAAATTCTGTCGTAAATGTAACCGTGTGCTGTAGAAATTGTCTGTTAAAGTGTGTTTTCTTCAACTTTCCATCCGAATGTATTATGTTTATAGTACCTTTGTACTTATAAATTTTCTCTATCTTTTTAAACTTTCAACTTGTTCAATCTAACATTCTTCTTTTTCAGTATGTTCTTTAAATTTTTTAGGTCATATCTTTTTTACAATTATTCATTGCAATCAGAACATTTGCTTATCTATCTGCAATAGATCTTTTATTTTTATCTTTATGCAAGAAGATTTTTAATGCATGATAAGTAACACATTCAAACTGAAATCATGGGTCATAGTAATTATATAAATTTCAATTTAAGCCTTGAAAAGAAGTATAGAACCCTCAAATAATTTTCAAATTATTATTTTTTTATTTGTCCTAAAACATTTAAAAACATTTAATTACCATCCTTTTATGATTATTTGTTCAATTTATATTTTATTTATATTCTTTTAACTAGAGGCTCTAAAGAGCCTGTGTCGCTCACCTTGGTCTATGTGAATATTAAACAAAGGACGCAGATGGATTCATGACAAAATTGTGTTTTGGTGATGGTGATGTGTTTGTACATCTTAATTTACTGAACATTTTTCCTGCTTACAATTATCTCTATCTATAATTAACTTGGCCCAGTAGTTTCACAGGAGAAGATTTTTGTAAAAGATTACTAAGATTTACGAAAAAATGGTTAAAAATTGACTATAAAGGGCAATAACTCCTAAAGGGGTCAACTGACAATTTCGGTCATGTTGACTTATTTGTAGATCTTACTTTGCCGACATTTATTGTTTTTTACAGTTTATCTCTATCTATAATAATATTCAAGATAATAACCAAAAACAGCAAAATCACCTTAAAATTACCAATTCAGGGGCAGCAACCCAACAACGGGTTGTCCGATTCATCTGAAAATTTCAGGGCAGATAGATCTTGACCTGATAAACAATTTTACTTCATGTCAGATTTGCTTTAAATGCTTTGGTTTTTGAGTTAAAAGCCAAAAACTGAATTTTACCCCTATGTTCTATTTTTAGCCGTGGCGGCCATCTTGGTTGGTTGACCAGGTCACGCCACACATTTTCAAAACTAGATAACCAAATGATGATTGTGGCCAAGTTTGGTTTAATTTGGCCCAGTTGTTTCAGAGGAGAAGATTTTTGTAAAAGATTACTTAGATTTACGAAAAATGGTTAAAAATTGACTATAAAGGGCAATTACTCCTAAAGGGGTCAACTGACCATTTCGGTTATATTGACTTATTTGTAAATCTTACTTTGCTGAACATTATTGCTGTTTACAGTTTATCTCTATCTATAATAATATTCAAGATAATAACCAAAAACAGCAAAATTTCCTTAAAATTACCAATTCAGGGGCAGCAACCCAATAACGGGTTGTCCGATTCATCTGAAAATTTCAGGACAGATAGATCTTGACCTGATAAACAATTTTACTTCATGTCAGATTTGCTTTAAATGCTTTGGTTTTTGAGTTAAAAGCCAAAAACTGAATTTTACCCCTATGTTCTATTTTTAGCCGTGGTGGCCATCTTGGTTGGTTGACCAGGTCACGCCACACATTTTTAAAACTAGATAACCAAATGATGATTGTGGCCAAGTTTGGTTTAATTTGGCCACGGAGTTTCAGAGGAGAAGATTTTTGTAAAAGATTACTAAGATTTACGAAAAATTGTTAAAAATTGACTATAAAGGGCAATAACTCCTAAAGGGGTCAACTGACCATTTCAGTCATGTTGACTTATTTGTTAATCTTACTTTGCTGAACATTATTGCTGTTTACAGTTTATCTCTATCTATTATAATATTCAAGATAATAACCAAAAACAGCAAAATCACCTTAAAATTACCAATTCAGGGGCAGCAACCCAACAACGGGTTGTCCGATTCATCTGAAAATTTCAGGGCAGATAGATCTTGACCTGATAAACAATTTTACTTCATGTCAGATTTGCTTTAAATGCTTTGGTTTTTGAGTTAAAAGCCAAAAACTGAATTTTACCCCTATGTTCTATTTTTAGCCGTGGCGGCCATCTTGGTTGGTTGACCAGGTCACGCCACACATTTTCAAAACTAGATAACCAAATGATGATTGTGGCCAAGTTTGGTTTAATTTGGCCCAGTTGTTTCAGAGGAGAAGATTTTTGTAAAAGATTACTAAGATTTACGAAAAATGGTTAAAAATTGACTATAAAGGGCAATTACTCCTAAAGGGGTCAACTGACCATTTCGGTTATATTGACTTATTTGTAAATCTTACTTTGCTGAACATTATTGCTGTTTACAGTTTATCTCTATCTATAATAATATTCAAGATAATAACCAAAAACAGCAAAATTTCCTTAAAATTACCAATTCAGGGGCAGCAACCCAATAACGGGTTGTCCGATTCATCTGAAAATTTCAGGACAGATAGATCTTGACCTGATAAACAATTTTACTTTCATGTCAGATTTGCTTTAAATGCTTTGGTTTTTGAGTTAAAAGCCAAAAACTGAATTTTACCCCTATGTTCTATTTTTAGCCGTGGCGGCCATCTTGGTTGGTTGACCAGGTCACGCCACACATTTTTAAAACTAGATAACCAAATGATGATTGTGGCCAAGTTTGGTTTAATTTGGCCACGGAGTTTCAGAGGAGAAGATTTTTGTAAAAGATTACTAAGATTTACGAAAAATTGTTAAAAATTGACTATAAAGGGCAATAACTCCTAAAGGGGTCAACTGACCATTTCAGTCATGTTGACTTATTTGTTAATCTTACTTTGCTGAACATTATTGCTGTTTACAGTTTATCTCTATCTATAATAATATTCAAGATAATAACCAAAAACAGCAAAATTTCCTTAAAATTACCAATTCAGGGGCAGCAACCCAACAACAGGTTGTTCGATTCATCTGAAAATTTCAGGGCAGATAGATCTTGACCTGATAAACAATTTTACTTCATGTCAGATTTGCTCTAAATGCTTTGGTTTTTGAGTTATAAGCCAAAAACTGCATTTTACCCCTATGTTTTATTTTTAGCTGTGGCGGCCATCTTGGTTGGTTGGCCGGGTCACGCCACACATTTTTTAAACTAGATACCCCAATGATGATTGTGGCCAAGTTTGGTTTAATTTGGCCCAGTTGTTTCAGAGGAGAAGATTTTTGTAAAAGATTACTTAGATTTACGAAAAATGGTTAAAAATTGACTATAAAGGGCAATTACTCCTAAAGGGGTCAACTGACCATTTCGGTTATATTGACTTATTTGTAAATCTTACTTTGCTGAACATTATTGCTGTTTACAGTTTATCTCTATCTATAATAATATTCAAGATAATAACCAAAAACAGCAAAATTTCCTTAAAATTACCAATTCAGGGGCAGCAACCCAATAACGGGTTGTCCGATTCATCTGAAAATTTCAGGGCAGATAGATCTTGACCTGAAGAACAATTTTACCCCATGTCAGATTTGCTCTTAATGCTTTGGTTTTTGAGTTATAAGCTAAAAACTGCATTTTACCCCTATGTTCTATTTTTAGCCGTAGCGGCCATCTTGGTTGGTTGACCGGGTCACGCCACACATTTTTAAAACTAGATACCCCAATGATGATTGTGGCCAAGTTTGGTTAAATTTGGCCCAGTAGTTTCAGAGGAGAAGATTTTTGTAAAAGTTTACGGACGACGGACGACGGACGACGGACGCAGGACGACGGACGCAGGACGACGGACGACGGACGCAAAGTGATGAGAAAAGCTCACTTGACCTTTCAGGTCAGGTGAGCTAAAAATTTACATTATTTAAAGGAAAGTAACTTAAAACAGGATAAATCAAGGGAAGTAACCCAACATTCATTTTATATAAAACAAGTTTTATTGCACAACGGCAGTTAGCCTGAGGTAAAAATCGTTTATTACCAGTATGTTTGACACCCAAGGTGACAAGTGAGGCCATATAACTATGCATGTTAATTGATTTACAGGTAAAATATAACTTCAGTAATGTCAGTTACACCAGATATGTTAGGCTGAAATTTTTCATTCATGAAATATTTCATACACGGGATTTGTTTGTTTTCAATGGGAGGTCGGGAGGAGACCCCTGAAAACCGGATTATTGTACTTCCGTCGGGAGGTTCACATGTATGAACTGTACAATTTCAGAGAGATCCATACACTTGAACACAAGTTATTGTCTGGAAACAAGAAAAATGCTTGTTTTTTGGCCCCAAATTCCTAAACATTTAGGGCAATTACCCCCAAACTCAAACCCAGCTTTCCCTTTGTGATATGGAACCTTGTAGTACAATTTCATAAAGATCCATACACTTACACACAAGTTATTGTCCTGAAACTAGAAAAATGCTTGTTTTTTTGCCCCTTTATGGCCCCTAATTCCTCAAATTTCTAGGGAATTACCCCCAAAATCAATCCCAGCCTTCCCTTTGTGGTTTGGTACCTTGCAGTACAATTTCAGAGAGATCCATACACTTGAACACAAGTTATTGTCTGGAAACTAGAAAAATGCTTATTTTTGGCCCCTTTTTGGCCCCTTATTCCTAAACGTTGTGGGCAATTACCCCCAAAATCAATTCCAGCTTTCCCTCTGTGATATGGAACCTTGTAGTACAATTTCATAAAGATCCATACACTTACACACAAGTTATTGTCAGGAAACTAGAAAAATGCTTGTTTTTTGCCCCTTTATGGCCCCTAATTCCTAAAATTTTGAGGCAATTACCCCCAAAATCAATCCCATCATTCCCTTTGTGATATGGAACCTTATGGTACAATGTCAGAGAGATCCATACACTTACACACAAGTTATTGTCATGAAACTAGAAAAATGCTTGTTTTTTTCCCCTTTTTGGCCCCTTATTCCTAAAATTTGGAGGCAATTACCCCCAAAATCAATCCCAGCATTCCCTTTGTGATATGGAACCTTGTGGTACAATGTCAGAGAGATCCATACACTAACACACAAGTTATGTCTGGAAGTTACAAAAATGCTTATTTTTGGCCCCTTTTTGGCCCCTAATTCCTTAACTGTTGGTACCATAACCCCCAAAATCAATCCCCACCTTCCTTTTGTGGTATTGAACCTTAAGGTAAAATTTCATTGAGATCCATTCACTTTAACTAAAGTTAGAGTGCGAAAACCAATGTGTCTTCGGACGACGACGACGACGACGAAGCCAACGTCATACCAATATACGACCACAAAATTTTTTTGCGGTCGTATAAAAATTAGCATTTATTGCTTTTTCTTGTACATGTGTGTAATAGTGACTTCATTCAACAAGGATGATGATGCCTTTTGTGGCTGCCTTTCTCCAAATTTTCACAATTAATTTCATGAAGTACATTTATTTTCACAAATTTCAAACATCTATTGATAACAAGGACTTAGGTCATCAAATTTGGATATGATATTAATTTAATTTATTTTTTAATGTCATAATTTTTAAAATGTAAAAATAATTGATTAGTACATTTGACTTTAGTTTAAATTTTGCAAAAATCAGTATTCAAATAATAATTTAGGATACAGACTCTCACAGGTAACACCTGCCTCATATAATAATATATGCATGCATTATAATCACAAGCTTGTTATCTGTCCTGTTTTTAGACTTTCGCAAATTTCAGAACCTGTTACCTGTTACCAAGTCTTTATCTTATATCCTCTAGCAGGAGCTTCACTTATAAAGCGTTATCATTTGCACCCTTAAGGTCTTAACCCTTACTCACGGAGCACTTCTTTAAAATCGGTTAACAGTTTATTTACATAAACTTAAAGTTAATAAATCACCAATTTATTTACAGCATGCAGACTAATCCATAACCACATTATAAACGAATGTAACTATGATTACACATGTTATTCTTTCGGAAATATAAAATATTTAAAACTTAATCATACCTGCCAACCTCTGAAACCTTCAATGAGGGAGATCTCCCCCTCAGCTATGACAGCTGAGGGGGAGATTTTGCGTAAACCACATTTTTTAAAGCTAAATATATGACTTGTACACTTTAGGCCTAAATTATTATATTGTTTGTTTCCCCAATCCCAACCCTGCCAAGCAGATGTGGGTAGGTAGGTAGGGAAATAATTTTATTTTTCCAAAAAGCTTGAACATTATCGGATGATCCGGCAAGCCTGAAAATCGGAAATGAATAAAATAAAAACACTTAAACATAAGTTATTGACTGAAAACTAGAAAAATGCTTGTTTTAGACCCTTTTTGGTGAGTTTATTTACAACCTTTGGGTCGATGCCACTGCTGGTGGAGTTTTTATCCCCTGAGGGTATCACCAGCCCAGTAGTCGGCACTTCTGTGTTGACATGAATTATCATTGATATGGTCATAATTATAAATTAACTGTTTACAAAACTTTACATTTTTGAAATACTAAGGCTTTTCTACCTCAGGAATAGATTTCTTTAGCTGTATTTGGCAAAACTTTTAGGAATTTTTGGTCCTCAATGCTCAACTTCGTACTTTATTTGGCCTTGATTTAGAGCGTCATTGATGATTCTTTTTGTAGATGAAACGCGCGTCTGGCACGAATACAAAATTTCAATCCTTGTATCTATGATGAGTTTTTTTGGCCCCTAATTCCTGAACGGTTTGGGCAATTACCCCCAAAATGAATCCCAACCTTCTACTTGTGGTATTGAACCTTGTGGTACAATTTCAGAGCAATCAAAATACTTATACCGGTCATTCCGGGTTAAATTATCCGAATGCAGGAGATTTCAGGAATTAGTCAATTGGGCGGGAGAATCCCGCTCAAAATGGGAGGGTTGGCAGGAATGTACTTAATCCAAATGTCCAGCCTAACTGTTCAAACACTATCCACTTTATCATAAAATCTAAAAGATTTCCACTGATTTACAGTTAAGCATTAATTGCATATGTTATACACACATCGAATAATGTAGTACATAAAATCTAAAATCAATTGACTTCTTCTCTGACACAAACCTTGGATACGAGTTTACAGTTCAAACACTGTCCACCTCAATATATGATAGAATAAATATCATATAAATCAAATGCATATATATTACAATTTTGTTTTCCTTGACACCTCTACTCCAATAGAATAAATTTACTCAGAACTTATCCGGATTGGATAATTAAATGTCAATCAGTCAGTGAATAACAGATAAATCATATAGCAAATACAAAGTCACAAATCTGAAAATGTAGAATATTTATCAATCATGTCATCGAAACGTTATGTACCTTCTACTCCTTCCCATATTATATATGTTCTCTCCTCAAGACTTTGTTGACAAGTTAATGTTAAGAAATTACCTGTATAATATTTATATGTCAAAAGAGAAAACTTACAACGTGTTTTGCAATCCTAAATCTGTATCTACTACTTCCGGTTTGAATATCCGAAAACAAACATTTCGAAGTAGGAAAGAGAAAGATCATTTAAAGATTCACGATCAATAAATTTAATTTTATTAAATAATAATGTACAAATTCAATGGATCTTCCATCAAAAATACACTTAAGCGACTGTAAATCTTGTTGTTATAAATATCTGGTTGAATCAAAACCGTGTCCAAATCCGGAGATGTATCCGTGTTTCCCTTTCGCTAGCCTTTTCCGCTTCCTCTATCCAACTTTCAGCCTTCGAAATGGTACATGCCTATTAAAATCCATCTAAATCTGTGCCATCTTGTTACTTTTAAATATATTTAATACATTACGCTTTTAGAGTAATATCCCAAATGGTTATTCATCCTTCAAAAACTTACGAACGATTGCAGTAATGTAATTTAAAACTATCCCTTTCGCCAACGGGTTAACTGCCTATATGTCTAAATTTCTTCTCAAAAATTATATTTTGGAAATATTGAAGATTGAAATATTCTGAAGTTAACAACATTCTCTCTTTCCAAGGACAGATCCTGATCCAGCCCATACATTCTCAGCTCTATATCCATTTTGCATTATCTACTGGTTTTATAAATTTTCTTGAGATGCACGAAATAGACCAATATTTGATAGGCTGAGACGATTACATTGAATTATCTATTAGTCCCAGAAATCAGCCATGGCCATAGGGTCAGGTGAAAAAGAATCAACCGTTGGAATTGGTGCATTTTTCACTAGGCAGTAGACTGCAAAGTCCAATCATCATATCGTACACCTGAAGTATGTGCACACTTCGCTGCAGAACTGTATCTCTAAAGGTCTTTGTGCTTTTGTTTTGGAAATGAATATTCAAACATAAAAATAGGTACTTAATATCTTATGAAACTAACCATGCTAACTATATATAATTATATCACAAGCTACGCACCAGTGATGAACAAAATTGTGAAAATAAGTGTGACCTGAACCTGCGTCACAATTTTGATCGATTGAACAACGAAATATTCGTAGTATGGTTCCACAGTTCATGCACACCTTGCCTTTAATTAATAGCAGTTAATCGATTCATTTTGGCTGATAACTTGCGTTGAAACTCTTCATATTGTTTTCATTTGAATTTTTTGACACATGATCCATACTGTAGAGGACAGCACATTCTCATTTTTAACACCGATTTTTGTCGAGCCTGCGACTTTTGTCGCAAAAGCGAGACATAGTGATCCTACATTCCGTCATCATCCGTCCGTCACAAATATTCACTCTGAATTTTAATAACTTTCTTAAACTATCCTGGATTTCTACCAAACTTGGACAGAAGCTTGTTTATGATCATAAGATAGTATCCAGAAGTAAATTTTGTAAAAAAAAAATCCTGTTTATCCGTATTTTACTTATAAATGGACTTATTTTTTCTGCCAGTTAACATTACATTCACTCTGTGGTTCAAGTTTTAAAAATTTTAATAACTGTCTTAAACTATCCTGGATTTGTACCAAACTTGAACAGAAGCTTGTTTATGATCAAAAGCTAGTATCAAGTAGGAAATTTTGCAAAAATTTATTTCCTGTTTTTCCATATATTACTTATAAATGGACTTAGTTTTTCTTCCAGTTAACATTACATACAGTCTGCAGTTAAAGTTTTTAAAACATTTATTAGATTCATAAACTGGAAATGTGCATTCCCCTATCACACTGAAAACATAGACAACAGCAAAAGTAGGCGAGACACTGGGTTCCGCTGAACCCTTACAAATTTTTTGGTGCTATTGAGTCTATCCAGAAAGTAAGATTTTTCCTTTACACTATTTAGTTTTTCATATATGCAAATTATAAACATGTTGCAGATCAGAAATAAAAACAATATTGAGGTCACAAAGCTTCAGAATCTTTGATATTTACAAAAAGGGTCTATAACTACTGTTGCATAAATCAGTTTAAATGTAAGGTTAAAATGTTTATGGATTCTAAAATCAAACTCTATCTTCTTTTTAGTGCTTAACAGCTTCTGGTGTAAAGAATGAAAACCAGCGAGCACTCAGAATTCAAAACGATTAATTATATTAATTTAATACATTGACCTAAAGGCTTGATGACCATATCACTTTTGCATGTTATCCTAAATATGCATTTAATATTTGCATCTTAAATGTTATTTTTTTTTAGGCAAAGAGAACAAGAAAGGTTGGCATTACTGGAAAATATGGTACCAGATATGGTGCTTCACTGAGGAAGACCATCAAAAAGATGGAAATTGAACAGCATGCCAAGTACACATGTCAATTTTGTGGAAAGGTATATCAATAAAAATATGAGTGGTTTCCTTTTAAATATCATTTGGTCAGTAGCTTAGTTTTTTCTTGGTCATAATTTTAAAAATGACCTGTTTTCATTGAGTCTGGGTTTCAGTATATATTATACATACCTATAATGACATTGACCACTATTTTATACACTATATGCATTTTGTAGAAGGACAAGAAAGGGAAAATATTACATAAAGGGCGATTAGAATCATTAAAGTTCAATCAAAAACCCTGGCCAAAATAGAAAAAAATACAGAAATCAACATTAGGCTACAAACCATTACACAGAAAAGCATAGATTAAGCAACAAAAAACTACCAAAAATTCAGGTGCATATGTTCTATCAGGGACTAAACTTAACTTTTATATTTTAAATTTTTTTTCCGGGGCCCAGTTGAAATTTTAGGTGCCCAACCAATTTTTATACTAAATACAATAAAACTGAAATGTACTTTCCATATACTAATAAAGCCTTATGTAATCCTACATGTAGCTTTTGAGTCTGGTAAAGATTTTGTGTGATAACTTTGTGATATTTGAATTATTGCCACCAGAAATATATCATAAGATTTTGACAATACTGATCTTAGTAAATTTCCTACCAAAAATGTCTCCCTTCAATTTCAACTTCCTGTTGACATTTTGACAATATGGCTGTTTCTATGAATCATTAAATGCTACTTCAAATCCAAGCCATCCTCTAATAGTGTTGATCAAAAATAATATTCAATTACTTTTTATTTGAAGATTGGATATCAAACTAGATATTTTGATATTTATTTACAAGATTTTGCATTTTGTTTTTTCATTGAAGATTTTGTAAATAGCGATTCGTGGACAAGTTATCGTCTAATACGGGCTTGTAATGACTCCCTGGACAACTCTAATGCATTTCTTTAGCGATGCAGATTGAACAGTTTAGAAGAAAACACTAAACAATAATGAAATAATCTAAGAAGATTTAAAAGAGGGATAAGAACATGTGCTTAGAGAAGGGGGTATATGTCAAATTGTGACTTCGCATTGAAAACATACTTGTCCAACCAGGTTTGGGTTATTAAAATGAACTAACTGGTTTTCGGAAATTCTCTCTTTAATTTTCCCGCTTTGATTAGACAAGGAGGTTTCCTTTTACGAACAGTTTTTATACGACCGCAAAAATTAAAAATTTTTTGGTCGTATATTGGTATGACGTTGGCGTCGTCGGCGGCGTCGTCCGAAGACACATTGGTTTTCGCACTCTAACTTTAGTTTTAAGTGAATGGATCTCCATGAAATTTTACCATAAGGTTCAATACCATGAAAGGAAGGTTGGGATTGATTTTGGTGGTTATGGTACCAACAGTTAAGGAATTAGGGGCCAAAAAGGGGCAAAAAATAAGCATTTTTGTAACTTCCAGACAATAACTTGTGTGTAAGTGTATGGATCTCTCTGACATTGTACCACAAGGTTCCATATCACAAAGGGAAGGCTGTAATTGATTTTGGGGGTAATTGCCTCAAAATTTTAGGAATTAGGGGCCAAAAAAGGGGCAAAAAACAAGCATTTTTCTAGTTTCATGACAATAACTTGTGTGTAAGTGTTTGGATATTTCTGAAATTGTACTACAAGGTTCCATATCACAAAGGGAAAGCTGGAATTGAGTTTGGGGGTAATTGCCCGAAACGTTTAGGAATTGGGGGCCAAAAAGGGGCCAAAAATAAGCATTTTTCTAGTTTCCAGACAATAACTTGTGTTCAAGTGTATGGATCTCTCTGAAATTGTACTGCAAGGTACCATACCACAAAGGGAAGGCTGGTATTGAGTTTGGGGGTGATGAATCATAAGGGGGTTCAAAAAATTTGGGAGGGGGGATTTTTTTTTTTCCTTTTTTTTTTCTTTTAAAATTTTCCATTTGAAGTTGGTTATTTCTGATTAATATTTAAAAGCAAATAATAATGATATGGTAGGAGATACACACCAAACAGGATGTGTAAATTATTATATAATAAGTATTGTGCAATAGCAAGAAATTTTCAATTGCACAGTATTGCACAATAGCAAGAAATCTTCAATTGCACAGTATTGCGCAATAGCAAGAAATCTTCAATTGCACAGTATTGCGCAATAGCAAGAAATATCCAATAGCAAGAAATTGTCAATTGTACAGTATTGCGCAATAGCAAGAAATATTCAATTGCACAGTATTGTGCAAAAGAAGATACTTCGTACAAATTGCTTATTTCTTGATCAATTTCAATGGGGTTATATTCTTGAATTCTTGGGGTTCTTTAATATGCTGAATCTAACCGTGTATTAAGTTTTTGGATTTTGGGCCCCATTTTTAAATTGGTCCACATTGAGGTCCAAAGGGTCCAAAATTTAACTTTGTTTGATTTCATCAAAAATTGAATAATTGGGGTTCTTTGATATGCCGAATCTAACCGTGTATTTAGATTCTTAATTTTTGGTTCCGTTTTCAAATTGGTCTACATTAAGGTCCAAAGGGTCCAAAATTAAACTAATTTGATTTTAAAAAAAATTGAATTTTTAGGGTTCTTTGATATGCTGAATCTAAACATGTAATTAGATTTTTGATTATGGGCCCAGTTTTCAAGTTGGTCCAAATCGGGGTCCAAAATTAAACTTTGTTTGATTTCAACAAAAATTGAATATATGGGGCCGCAATTAAAAATATCTTTGTTTCCCCTTACCCTACCCACCATTTTGGAAGTGGGTAGGTAGGTAGGCTTTTTTTTTTTTTTTTTTAGAGAAAATCCCTTAAATATATCTAACATACAGGAAAACACAGAAAAACAACAAATTGAACTTTATTGATACCAAAACAACATACTGTATAACGTATAATGCATGACTAGAAGACCTTACAATTTCAGACTAGAAAATGTTTGTAAATATCAATGCCTTTGTGACTTAGAGTAGACCACATATAAATTGAGACACGGTTCTATATCTTTCTTATAGTTTTATTAATTCAATTGAAAATATAAAACCCCGAGACTGCTACCTAGTAACATTCGATGCAAAAAATATGCACACTTGTTTTTCATTTAAGGAAATACTAGAAGCCACAAACCGTGATCCAAGCGAGTGACTACGCCTATTAAGGCTTATTCTAGAAAACTATGAATTTATTTTTAACAATAATCTTTACCATGAAACCTTGGGCGTGCCTATGTGCGGATCAGCATTCGCTGAGTTAGCAGACCTTACAATGTTTGTTAATTCTTGAACACATTTTACAATGCTTTCAACACAGAGAAACAAAATGATAATGATAGTTGAAGTTCACCTACGATTTTCCTGTAATGAAACAATATTCTTAGACACTGTCATAATTATACAAAGGAGAAAGATTCTTTAATGAAGGCATAGTATGATACAAGACATTAAAACCAATATCAAACCAACTGAAACATATCAATATCTGCACAGACACTGCTCACACCCAAAAAGTGTTTTCATTGAAAGGATTTATCAAGGGTGAAGTATTGAGGTATCTCAGAAACACAAGCAGCAAAACTGATCTTAAAAAAACAGTAAGAAGCTAAAACGAGGATATCAAATATCTGAAATCAACGATTTTTTTTATCAAACACAAAATACAGAAAGGGAAACCTTGCTAACACATCGCCCAGCGAAACGGGAGCAACCGCTAGTAATGTTAACAAAATTCAACCCATCTATACAGAAACTAAAAATATAATAATGAAAAACTGGCATCTTATTTCACAAAACCCTGAATGTGTGACCATATTTAATCATCAGCCCATTATAGCTTATAAAAGACATAAGAACTTACAAGAACTTTTATCAAAGCATTAGCTGGTATAGTCGTCTCGACTTTTCACAACACAATATGATGCTGAGCTCGAAAAAAATCAACTACTATTTTATCCAAAGACAACTAGTGTATGGTCCAATATCACATACGAAATGAAACAAAATAGCATAAATAGCACGCGAATATACAACTTATTGAGTCAACCACTGATAAAGGCGAACTCAGGGATTAACCACAAACACGACAGAAACACCGGGCCTAACATTTAAGCTTAAATAGTTGTCGTCTTTAAATAATGAAGTGAAATTTACAGTTTAAAGCATACCTTGAAGCATGTGCAAGTTTTATTTCATAGTGATGCAGCTATAACTTCAAAAGGCGAAGGGGTCTCAGTGGCTGAGTGGTCTAATTATTGAACTACTGTATCACTAGCCTGTCAAGACTGCGGTTGTGAGTTCCAATCCCGAATGTGGCAGGTGTGCTCGATTCCAATCTTAATTGACTAAGATTTTTCAGTTTTCCTACCGAAGGTCTTGGTTCGCACAGGGCACTCCGGCTTCCTCCACCAATCAATCAAAATGCAAGGGACGTTGATTTTGTGACGTTACTAGTACTGTTGTTGTATAAAAAATGTCGAAAAATTCCTGTAAACACATTCATTTGGATATGTTTGCTGGAGTCAGGCTGCAGAAACATAATAATTTAGATTTTGCATTCTAATAGTCAATTAAAATGTATTCTATAATTAACAGGATAGTATGAAAAGAAGAGCTGTAGGAATCTGGCACTGCACCAAGTGTATGAAGACTGTTGCAGGAGGTGCTTGGATATACAGGTACATGTTCATGTGTTTTTATATGCCCATTTACGGGATGTATTATGGTATACCGTTGTTCTTTTGTCCGTCCGTCATCAACATGTTGGACATTAACTCGAAAACACTTCATCCAATTTGCATAAAACTTTGGTGAATTGTTCAAATCTATATGTGAGCTCCCTTTCGTTTTTTATAAAATTTAGATATTACGTTTCTGAGTTATGGGGCTTTATTCATTAAAAAAGGGGGGGTTTTCCAGTTTTCGGACAATAACTCAAAAATGCTTTCACCAATTTGCAAGAAACTTTGGTCAATTGTTTATATCTATTGACATGAGCTCCCTTTTGATTTTTATAAATTTTAGATTTTACACTTCCGAGTTATGGGATTTTATTCATAAAAAAGGGGTGATTTCTAGTTTTCGGACAATACCTTTAAAGTGCTTTGAACAGTTTTCATTAAACTTTGGTGACTGGTTTATATCAAATAAGATAACCTTCCTTTAGTTTTTCATATTTCTGCTATGACATTGAGAAGTTATTGAACTTTATTCGTAAAAAATGCGATGGGAATATCATGTGCTCATGGCGCAGCTGTTTATTTGTTGAGTTGACATATAACTGCCTTCACCGTCTCAATACACTGTTCATAAAAGTCTTTAACAAATCTTCATATAATTGCATAGTAGTGTTCTAGTCTTGCCTCAACAAAGTCCCAAAAGTGAGCCTTTGGTGTGCTGTTTTCTGGTGTATTAGATTGTGATTAGGTCTATTGACTTTTAAACTTTTGCTTGGTTTCCATTGATTTGATAAGTTTGTTATTTAGTCAGTTTAAGATGAACCACTAATGGTAAGTTAAAGATCTTTGGTATGCCTTTGTGTTAGCATTTAATAAAATTGAGAATGCACATCTCATTTCCATGGAGATTATATGACCCTTCCACATAGCCATGGTTGATTGACTCTGAAACCTTTTGTATTGTGGAACCACTTATATATATATAAGTCAACAGTGTCGGGTATACAGTTAGATTTTTTATTGTTAAATCTCTGCTTTTTATCTTGATAACTGTAATTGAGGAACAGAAAAAACTGTCAGATAAAAAATACAGGATTTATATAACTTTGAAACCTTCATTGGCTTATGAGAGTTATAGTCCTTAAATGGTGACAGAAACTAAATGATCATCAAGGCAAGAATAGAAATGATTTACATTACCAGAACTGTGGATTGACTGTTTATTTGAGTTGTCCTTAAGTGACAATATTAAAGGGCACTAGCTGTCAAATTCATGTTCACCGATTTGACTCAAATTCTGGTATTTGAATATAACATACTAAAATGTATATCACAATTACAAAAAGTCTAGAATAAACAATTAATAATGCACAGACTTGATAATATGTATCAACATTTCCTGTTTATTTTTGTCTAGAAGTCATCTAATTAACCATCGAGATGACCTCCAAAAACTGCCGACGGTCATATAACATGAGTTAAACATAAATATGAATTTAAACAGATAGTAACCAGGTGCAATTGGATTTTTCTTAGTCTGTTTGATTTCATATTGTAGGGTTAAAAAGTATGTTTATCATCGTTGTTACCTGTATAAGAATGATTTTGTTCTGGATCGAATCAGTCAACCAAATGGTTCATCCTTCTTTAACTTTCAATGTTGACATTCTTTTCCTTTTAATAGCTGAATGCATGCGTAACCCATGTCCAGCTAAGAGGTTAAATTGAAGGTCATATGAATACGGATTCAATGAGGTGGAATTATTCACTTGCAAGTGAATAATTCGTCAGCAATATTTTTTAGCTCACCTGGCCCGAAGGGCCAAGTGAGCTTTTCTCATCACTTGGCGTCCGTCGTCGTCGTTAACTTTTTATACGACCGCAGAAATTAAAAATTTTTTGGTCGTATATTGGTATGACGTTGGCGTCGTCGTCGTCCGAAGACACATTGGTTTTCGCACTCTAACTTTAGTTTAAGTGAATGGATCTCCATGAAATTTTACCATAAGGTTCGATACCACGAAAGGAAGGTTGGGATTGATTTTGGAGGTTATGGTACCAACAGTTAAGGAATTAGGGGCCGAAAAGGGGCCAAAAATAAGCATTTTTGTCGAGCCTGCGACTTTTGTCGCAGAAAGCTCGACATAGGGATAGTGATCCGGCGGCGGCGGCGTAGCTAACTTCTTAAAAGCTTTATATTTTAGAAGGTGGAAGGTCTGGATGCTTCATACTTTGTATATGGATGCCTCATGTTACGAAGTTTCCGTCAGTCACATGTCCAATGTCCTTGACCTCATTTTCATGGTTCAGTGACTACTTGAAAAAAAAGTTAAGATTTTTTGTAATGTTAGATTCTCTCTTATTATAAGTAATAGGATAACTATATTTGGTATGTGCGTACCTTGCAAGGTCCTCATGCCCGTCAGACAGTTTTCACTTGACCTCGACCTCATTTCATGGATCAGTGAACAAGGTTAAGTTTTGGTGGTCAAGTCCATATCTCAGATACTATAAGCAATAGGTCTAGTATATTCGGTGTATGGAAGGACTGTAAGGTGTACATGTCCAACTGGCAGGTGTCATCTGACCTTGACCTCATTTTCATGGTTCAGTGGTTATAGTTAAGTTTTTGTGTTTTGGTCTGTTTTTCTTATACTGTATGCCATAGGTCTACTATATTTGGTGTATGGAATGATTGTAAGGTGTACATGTCTAGCGGGCAGGTGTCATCTGACCTTGACCTCATTTTCATGGTTCAGTGGTCAAAGTTAAGTTTTTGAGTTTTGGTCTTTTTTTCTAGTACTATATGCAATAGTTCAACTATATTTGGTATGTGCGTACCTTGCAAGGTCCTCATGCCCGTCAGACAGTTTTCACTTGACCTCATTTCATGGATCAGTGAACAAGGTTAAGTTTTGGTGGTCAAGTCCATATCTCAGATACTATAAGCAATAGGTCTAGTATATTCGGTGTATGGAAGGACTGTAAGGTGTACATGTCCAACTGGCAGGTGTCATCTGACCTTGACCTCATTTTCATGGTTCAGTGGTTATAGTTAAGTTTTTGTGTTTTGGTTTGTTTTTCTTATACTGTATGCCATAGGTCTACTATATTTGGTGTATGGAATGATTGTAAGGTGTACATGTCTAGCGGGCAGGTGTCATCTGACCTTGACCTCATTTTCATGGTTCAGTGGTCAAAGTTAAGTTTTTTGAGTTTTGGTCCTTTTTTCTAATACTATATGCAATAGTTCAACTATATTTGGTGTATGGAAATATTTTATGATCTATTTGGCAGTCACACAGGTTTTATTTGACCTTGACCTCATTTTCAAGGTTCATTGCTCAGTGTTAAGTTTTTGTGTTTTGGTCTGTTTTTCTTAAACTATAAGCAATAGGTCAATTATATTTGTTGTATGGAAGAATTGGTAGCTGTACATGCCTGCCTAGCATGGTTCATCTGACCTTGACCTCATTTTCATGGTTCATTGGTCAATGTTTAGTTTACTTGGTTAATGTTAAGTTTATGTGACAGTTGTAATAAAGCTTTATATTTAGGACTATCAACATAATATCAATGATTAGTAAAGAAGGCGAGACATTTCAGCGTGTGCACTCTTGTTGTAACTTCCAGACAATAACTTGTGTGTAAGTGTATGGATCTCTCTGACATTGTACCACAAGGTTCCATATCACAAAGGGAAGGCTGTAATTGATTTTGGGGGTAATTGCCTCAAAATTTTAGGAATTAGGGGCCAAAAAAGGGGCAAAAAACAAGCATTTTTCTAGTTTCATGACAATAACTTGTGTGTTAGTGTTTGGATATTTCTGAAATTGTACTACAAGGTTCCATATCACAAAGGGAAAGCTGGGTTTGAGTTTGGGGGTAATTGCCCTAAATGTTTAGGAATTGGGGGCCAAAAAGGGGCCAAAAATAAGCATTTTTCTAGTTTCCAGACAATAACTTGTGTTCAAGTGTATGGATCTCTCTGAAATTGTACTGCAAGGTACCATACCACAAAGGGAAGGCTGGTATTGAGTTTGGGGGTGATGAATCATAAGGGGGTTCAAAAAATTGGGGGGGGGGGGGGGGGTTCTTTTTTTTTTCTTTTAAAATTTTCCATTTTAAGTTGGTTATTTCTGATTTATATTTAAAAGCAAATAATAATGATATGGTAGGAGATACACACCAAACAGGATGTGTAAATTATTATATAATAAGTATTGTGCAATAGCAAGAAATTTTCAATTGTACAGTATTGCACAATAGCAAGAAATCTTCAATTGCACAGTATTGCGCAATAGCAAGAAATCTTCAATTGCACAGTATTGCGCAATAGCAAGAAATATCCAATAGCACAATATTGCGCAATAGCAAGAAATTGTCAATTGTACAGTATTGCGCAATAGCAAGAAATATTCAATTGCACAGTATTGTGCAAAAGAAGATACTTCGTATAAATTGCTTATTTCTTGATCAATTTCAATGGGGTTTTATTCTTGAATTCTTGTGGCTATTTAATATGCTGAATCTAACCGTGTATTAAGTTTTTGGATTTTGGGCCCCGTTTTTAAATTGGTCCACATTGAGGTCCAAAGGGTCCAAAATTTAACTTTGTTTGATTTCATCAAAAATTGAATTATTGGGGTTCTTTGATATGCCGAATCTAACCGTGTATTTAGATTCTTAATTTTTGGTTCCGTTTTCAAATTGGTCTACATTAAGGTCCAAAGGGTCCAAAATTAAACCTAGTTTGATTTTAACAAAAATTGAATTTTTAGGGTTCTTTGATATGGTGAATCTAAACATGTATTATTTTTTACATGGAATATTGTGTAAATTTTATTAAATATGATAGTTGTTGTGATATCATAATACGAATACTTAATTTTTATACCAAATTTTATATCTTTTGTAGTACAAATGCTGCAGCCACAGTAAGAAGTGCAGTTAGACGTCTGAGGGAAATGAAGGAACTTTGAAGTGTCAAAAATAAAATTTAAAAAACCATGTGTTATGAATATTTCAATAACCCATAGTCCCTAGCTGTCTCATTTGAGTTGTATTATTATCCAATGTTATTCAATATATGGAATGATTGTAAGGTGTACATGTCCAGCTGGTAAGTGTCATCTGACCTTGACCTCATTTTCATGGTTCAGTGGTCAAAGTTAAGTTTTTGAGTTTTGGTCTTTTTTTCTAATACTATAGGCAATAGATCAACTACATTTGGTGTATGGAAATATTTTATGATGTACATGTCAGTCTCGCAGGTTTTATTTGACCTTGACCTCATTTTCACTGTTCATTTCTCAGTGTTAAGTTTTTGTGTTTTGGTCTGTTTTTCTTCAACTATAAGCAATAGATCAACTATATTTGTTGTATGGAAGGATTGTAAGGTGTATATGTCTGTCTGGCAGGTATCATCTGACCTTGACCTCATTTTCATTGTTCATTGGTCAATGTTAAGTTTTCATGATTAAGTTTGTTTCTTAGATACTATAAGCAATAGGTCAACTATATGTAATGCATACATTGATTGTAAGGTGTACATGTCTGTCTGGCATGGTTCATCTGACCTTGACCTCATTTTCATGGTTCATTGGTCAATGTTAAGTTTTCTTGGTTAAGACTTTCTTAGAAACTATAAACAATAGGTCAACTATGTTTGGTTTATTGAATGATTGTAAGGTGTACATGTATTTCTCGTTTGGTCTATCTGACCTTGACCTCATTTTCTTGGATCATGTTAAGTTTATGTGTTACTTGTAGTAAAGCTTTATATTTAGGACTATCAACATAAAATCAATGGTTAGTAAAGAAGGCGAGACATTTCAGCGTGTGCACTCTTGTTTTTTGTCTTGGTGAATTTCTCACTTATTGTGAGTAATAGGATAACCATATTTGATATACGAGTTTCTAGCAACATCTGCATGTCTGTCTGACCAGGTTCCCTTGAACTTACCTCATTTCAAGGATCAGTGATCAAGGTTAAAAGTTGCGTGAGGTTCGTTTTTCAGATATTATAAGCAGTAGGTCAACTGTATGGAATGATTGTAAGTGGTACATGTAAGTCTGGTAGGTTTCAGCTAACTTTCCTCATTTTCATGGTTCATTGGTCAATGTCAAGATTTTGAGTTTTCAATTACTAGAAACAATAGGTCAACTGTATTTGGTGTATGGAATAATTGCCAGATGTACATGTCTGTCTGGCAGGTATCATTTGTCCTTGACTCAATTTTCACGGTTCAGTGTCAAAGTTTAGTTCCCTCTTTTCTGATACTATATAAGTAATTATATAGGTCAACTATATTTTGTGTATGGAATATCTGTCGGGCAGGGTTCATCTGACTGACCTCTTTTTCATGGTTTATTGGTCAATATTTAGTTTTCCTAGTTAAGGCTGTTTCTAAGATGTTATAAGCAATAGGTCAACTATATGATCCTATATGCGGTGCATGGAATGATAGTAAGGTGTACATGTCTGTCTGGCAATGTTAGGTTTTCCTGGTTGTCTTTTTATGCCCCCGCCGTAGCGGAGGGGGCATTAAGTTTTACCCTTGTCTGTACGTACGTCCCAAAGTTGGTTTCCATTCTCTAACTTTAGTTTGCCTCAACCAAATGTTATGAAACTTATACACAATGCTTATTACCACATAATACAGATCAAGTTTGAAATTGGGTGGCGTCACTTTTACCGTTCTTGAGTTATGCCCCTTTATAAACATAAAAATTGCTGAATTTTTCGTTTCTTCTTACTTTAGTTTGCCTCAACCAAATATTATGAAACTTATACACAATGCTTAATACCACAAAACTCAGATCAAGTACAAATTTGGGTAGCGTCACTTTTACCGTTCTTCAGTTATCTCCCTTTATATCTTTATATGATATGCAAGCGGGGGCATCATCTGTGTCCCATGGACACATTCCACATTTATTCTTAAATGCTATAAGTAATAAATTAACTATATTTGATTGGAAGGTGTACATGTCTGTCTGTCATGTATCATCTAGCCTTGACCTCATTTTCATGGTTCATTGGTCAATGTTGAGTTTTCATGGTTTGATTTGTTTCTTAGATACTATAAGGAAAAGGTCAACTATATTTGATGTTTGGGCAGATTTTAAGGTGTACATGTCTGACTGGGTTTATCTGGCCTTGACCTTATTGTCATCAATCATTGATAATGTTGAGGTTATGTGATACTTATGGTAAAACCTTAATTTTAAGAATTTTAACATTAAATAAATCATGGTCAGTAAAGCAGGCAAGACATTTCAGCATCTGTACTCCTGTAATTCCATTTTAGCTCACTTAGCCCAATGGGTATTGTAGTTTTTATACGACCACAAAAATTTTGCGGTCGTATATTGGTATCACGTCGTCAGCGTCGTCCGAAGACCTATGGTTTCCGGACAATAACTTTAGTAAATATAATGGGGGTTATGGCTCAAACCGTTTAGGAATTGGGGGGGGAAAACAAGGGTTTCTTGGTTAATGGACAATTAAAAAAAGTACAATGTTAAGTTTGGATTACCTCCCTTACACTGCTTTTAAATTATGTATAAAGAGATGTTGTATTGTCTTGAGGTGATAAGCTTTCAATTTATTTTTAGATGTTACTATTTAAAAATGCTGATTAAGGAATATTAATTTTAGCCATGATTATGATTGTCATTTTCTATTTTAAGACTTTTATGATGTATTTAAATGGTTAATACACCTTTCCACTCTCCTGTCAATCATCAGTTAATTGACCAATCACATGTGGTGAATTTACCACATGTGTAAACATTTGGTAGCAGCACGTGTTGTCGGCCATAACCTCGGTCAAACATTCTTATCTAAACAGTTAATTTGATCTAACATTTCTTGAAATTTTCACAATTAAATCGTCCAGAATTTGTTTTTGGGAAAGGAATCAATGTTAGAGGGTAGAGGAAGGTCAATTTGTCAACTTGAAACAATAAAAAGTTTGTTTTAATGTATGAAAGTTATTAATAAAATAATTAAAAAGGAATATAATGGCAGTGCTTATTGTTTTTGAAATATTGTTTACATGCTATTTTGAAAAATAAAAATATATATATTCTGAAACACAAGATTTCAATTGGTGTACAAACTGAGTTGAAATTGATATTTTTTTCATTAATTTAAAAGTTTATACAATAAAACATGCAAGTTAGTATGTAAAATTTCTGGAAATTACAATTATAATATAGTAAAGATTCAGCAACAAAATAATTGACACCTTTCCAATTTCAATAACATAGAACAATTCATCCCTAACTTTATTCAAATGTTAAAATATTTGTACTTGTAAGCAGTTTAAACTGAAAACTTCAGGGTATTGATCATCTTTTGGATTGACAGATTTTATACAAAATTTTAATTTTCCAGTATAATATTTATACAAGAACTAGTCCATGTTCTTTAACAATCAAATTGTTTTAGAGATAATGTAAGTTTTCCCACCTTAAAATTAATCTGGATAAAAAAATTATATACAACCTCATTGGAATGAGATGGAAATAAGAATTACTGATCTGAAAGTCTGCATGGAATGATGTAGTGAATCAGATATTTGTAGTCTTTTTGTGTACAAAATGTATAAAAATGAAAGTAGTTATGTTTGTAATGCCCTCATCGCTAGCATTTTGTTATAAGACAGAGGGGAAACTGAAATAATAGTAAAAAAAATATACTTCAATAGATGCTTCATAACAAGTAAGATACTGTTTAATTTTGATATGACTTTGGTCTACTGTGAGAGTATTTGCTGATTGTACTTGACCTTTTTCAAATTTTGTGTATGAATTAAAAAAAAATGAAAGGATGTGAGAAGTATCGGATATATTTTATTTTCTTAATTGGAAAAAAGGGTGAGTACAATGTGTAAAGATTCCTGTTAAGGACAAGAGTTGTATATAAATTTAAAACAAAGACGAACTACAATGACCAAATATTCATGTAAGCAAATAATAAATTAATTTTCTTTTCTTCTTTATTTTTTACTTAGTGATAGAATTTTAATTATCATAAGTTGTCTATGGATATAAAAAAAACAAAACCAGTTAAATGTTATTTGATAAATAATCTAATAGCTACTGGAGCAAGGATGCTTGTTTTACAAGTTGACCCATGCTGTGTTTGTCTACACAGTAAACACACTTATCAGCATTCATTAGCCATGCTTAATTAAACCTGTAATTTATCTTATCAATCATGCAATATTATATTCTATATCTAGTTGTTAGATTATATTTTTGGGGAATGAGGGTAATTTAATAGCTTGAAATTTGCAAAAGTATTTTAATTGTTTCTTTTTATTTAATATAAATAGACATAATTTCTTCAAAATGTCATAAATTTATCTCTCAACTCTTCAGGAGTAACTATTTCATCATACTTTAACACAAAAACAAATATATGAACAATAAATTGCTCTTATTTATATTTGTTATAACAAAATTCTTTACTTTGTTATTATTCAATGTTCATAATAACCGCCATTTTGATGATAAGCTTGACCTAGGATGCTGGGTTGCCATGTGTTGCTAAGGGGGGCGGGGCATACCAGTAGAAAATGGAAAGGTGTATTATGGTTGCAAACTCCATTGGAAATTTGAATTGAGATTATGACCATATCTTGAGGGAAAGAATTTTTATTTTTGGAAAAAGGGGGGAGGTGAAAAAAAAATTGGGGGGGGGGGGGGATAATTTTTTTCTCATTTCAAATTTCAGAAATTAAATAGAAAATTTCTTCAAATATTTTTGTTTTGCCAAAAAAAAGGGGGGGTTAATTTTTTTTTTGGGGGGGGGGTCAATTCGCAACGGCATAGTGTATTGCACAAAAGCAAAAAAAAAGGGGGCGTAAATTTTTTTTTTGAGGGGGGGGGTCAATTCGCAACAGCATAGTGTATTGCACAAAAGCAAAAAATTGAATATAAATTCAAATCATATAACCAATTCTAAGTTCTTTGACTACAGTTATTCTGTGTCAGAA